TTTGTGAAGGTTTTTTTTTCCTTAACTGCTTAAACTTATTCTGAGTTATTTGTTTTTATATATACATAGATAGTGATGCAGGAATTAAGGGGTCAACTATAATTAAATGTTGTTATTGGGGCTTTGTTAGATGAGCACTCACACAACCACATTGCTGTCATGTGTACAGTACTCTTGTACAATATTGAGAACAATGGCCAACATGTAAATATAATTGATCTAACCATTGCCCTGGGTTCGATGGATACCTGTTCTTATATTTCTATACTGATTTATGGAATCATGATTCTATTTTAGGTTTTTTTCTCTTTCTATTTACAGAATAGTATATTCTTCTTTTTCTTGTTAAAAGTGAGTTATATCTTGTTTTAAATAGAGCATGGATATTAACTTCTTTTCTCTGGCAGTTAAGTACATATGCCATTAGAGACATGGAGGAATACAAAAATTTCTGTGATCGGCCAAAGGATCAGCGTCCGCAACCAGAAGAAGTCATTGGGGTAAGCATTAAATCACGTTCATTGTTCATATTGTGATCTTAGCTTATCTTTTTTTTGTTAGGGAGAAATGGATTAGAAAAGAGAATGATGTAAATAATCTTAAGTTATATCTAAAAACATTGTGTCGAGGGAGAATGAAGAAACTAAACTCAAACATGAGAGATAATGATAAACAAAATCCGGAAGTAAAATGGTGATGAAAAGAAAGAAAAACCTGGAAGGAAAGAGGCTCACACAATAGAGCTAGGGTTTTAGAATATTTTGAAAATCAGTCTAGAACAGCAGTAGATGGATTGGTGGATACCCAAGAAATGGCTAGGTATTTAAACAATTAGAAAATCTCAGCTGAACTGCTGAGGTCAAGTTTTGGGATTGATTTAAACAATTAGAAAATCTCAGCTGAACTAGAGGTCAAGTTTTAGAATTGATGAATGAGGAATACACTACAAAGGCCTAATTAGCATCCGTGCATCTTAGTATCAGCTGTCACATTTAGGTGATGATTGAGCAATCCTTTTTTTTCTATTCCTGCTGAATTTTGTTTGAAGGTGATAAATATTGATATCCATGACTCATTAAACTAGGATGTATAAAATTAGTATTCTTTCGTCGTGTTTAGGTGGTTTTGGTGATGTAGAGAAGTTGGTTCTCTCTAAGAAGGATAAGCAATTTTTTAATTTGATTTTAGGTGCATTTGGTTTTATGGTCCTGTTTGGATAAACAATTTTTTTCAAGTTTATAATACAAATGCTTATAATATCAATATAGACACTTATGCATAAGCTTACATAAACTATTTTTATAGCAAATATAAAGTAATGTTAATGTGAAATTTGAATAATATATTTCGAGTATGAGAACAGTAGAAGCACTAATCTCTTTATATAAGGCTATTCTAATCTAATAGGCCTAACTAATGGACTAAAGGCCCGAATATAAGTTACTACTAACAATAGTAAGTAACTACATTAAAAATAACTTATTTACAACACTCCCCCTCAAGCTGGTGAATGAATGAATATCTATCATTCCCAGCTTAGAAACAATATTTCCAAAGTTATTGCTGTTCAGCCCCTTAGTTAGAAGATCTGCAACGTTGTCTTGAGAAGAAACATATGAAGTGGAAATAAGACCACTGTCTAATTTTTCTTTGATGAATTCTTTGTCAACTTCAATATGTTTGGTTCTATCATGCTGCACTGAATTATGGGCTATGCTAATAGTAGATCTCATTGGTTCATCACAATAAAGTCTCATTGGTTATCACTCTTTATCTTCATGTCTTATAATATCATTTTTAGCCAAAGTAGTTTACATATTCCTCGTGCCATTGCTGCTCTGAACTCTGCTTCAATATTAGGGATCTAGATATAACACTTTGTTTTTTACTTCTTCCAAGTCAAACGATCCCCATCCAAGAAAGTACAATATCCTGTAGTTGATCTTCTATCCACAATTGACCATGCATACTGAGCATCAGTATGCTCCAAGACTCACACTTCCATTTCGCTCAAACAAGATTCCTCTACATGGAGTTTCTTTTAAATATTGCACAATTTAGAGTGCAACTTGTAAATGAATCTCCTTTGGTTGCTGCGCGAATTGGGTGACTAAGCTTTTAGCAAAAGCAACACCAGGTCTACTATGTGATAGGTATATAAGTTTTCCGACTAATCTTTGATACATTTCCTTATCAACCGGAATATTTTCTTCTGTGTCCTAACTTTACACTTGTCTCTTGTAGAAGACCAGTAATGTATTTCTGTTGAGATATTAAGATTCCTTTTTTAGAGTTGGCAACTTCAATTCCCAGAAAGTAATTCAATTTTTCTAAGGTCTTAATCTCAAACTCCTTGACTTAGTGTTCACCTAACATTTGCTGCTCCTTCTCATCATCATCTGTTACTATAATGTCATCTACATACACCAACCAATAGGACTGTTACTCCCCCTGTCTCATAAGGTTTGATAAATAATGTATGATCTCCTTGATTTTGTTTAAAGCCCAAATCTACCATAACTTTGGTGAGTTTTCTAAATCATGCTCGTGGTGATTGCTCTAGCTCATATAAAGCCTTTTCTAATTTGCACAGTGTTAGTGGTAGTAAGTTCACAGTATCCATGTGGTACATCCATATTGATCTTTTCTTCAAGTTCTCCAAGAAGGAAGACATTTTTCATATCAAATTGTTGTAAATTTCAATTGTAATTAGCCGCTAAAGATAATAACACCCTTGAGGTATTCATTTTAGCAATTGGAGCAAATGTCTGAGTAATCTACTACATAAGTTTGACAACCAATCTTGTCTTGTACCTCTCAATAGACCCATCAGCCTTGTATTTTACAGTGTATACCCATCTGCACTCTACAGGTTTCTTTCCATTTGGTAGAGAAACCAATTCCCAAGTATTGTTCGTATTAAGTGCCTCCATCTCCAAGTCCATGGCCAGTTTTCATTTCCTGTTAGACAATGCATTAGAAAGAGTTTGGTATTGTTAGAGTGTTTAGAATGTGAGAAAGGCTTTATGGACGGGTGAAAAATGTTGAAAACTTATGTAGTTGGGTAGAGCGTAAAGTGGCTTTTTACACTTTCTTTACAATTTCAGCAACATATAGAGAATTCTTTTTTTGTTTGGAATTTTTTTACATGCAGAGTAATTTTTCTAAGTCATCTACTTCCTTCTATCTGGTTCCTGTCAGGGATCTAGTGGGAAATTTTCACAGCTTGCACAAACTTTTAAGATGGTTATAATGATGGCCTATAAATTCTAAGATGATAGCCTATAAATAAAAGATAAGGGATATTGAGGAGGATGTCTTTGGTTTTAGATGGGATTTTTCAATAAGAGAGAGCCAAGTCTCTCTAATACCTTAAAAAAAAAGAATAGTTTTTTAAAACAAAAATTCCACTTTCTTCTATATTTTGAGCACATATATCTGTTGGTGTATGTCTTTAATGAGTTGACTACATCATAAATGAAATAGTCTTTTTTTGGAATTTCTGGATAAAAACTTATTTTGATTGGCAGTTTCTTAGGTAAGATGATTAAGCTTGTGTATTGCAATACCTTGAAATATCCAATACTTGAACAAGTTATACTACCTCTAATTCCTTTCAGTAGCTGATCTTCCTTGACATATACTGTGGTTTGCAGGATATTGGAGAACATTTGACAACAATACATCTTAAGCGTTGTTCACGTGGAAAACGTTGCTTATATGAAGGTTCATCCCCACCTGGTGGATTTCCTAATTCATGGGTAATTTTCAGTTCTAACTAATGTCTTATCATCCTCTTCATTTTTGTACCAGTACCAGTGTCTTAATTAATATCCGTACCTTTTCTAAGAACAGAATGGAGCAACCTACTGTACTTCAGAACTTGCAGTTATGAAAAACAGCGAGATACACACCTGGGATCGGGGTTATGATGACGATGGAAATCAAGTTAGTGTTCTTCAACTCATGAGTTTGAATAATTTGATAGATTACTTTACAATAACTTTATAATCTAGACAACAAAGGAAGACAGAGAGATAACTTTTTTTTTTCTCTCATTCAATTGCAGGTTTGGGGACAAAAAGAAGGCCCTTACGAGTTCAAGCCTGCACCAACCTCCTGTTTCAGTGATATGCTTTCCCCCTTGAGTTTACCACCTCTACCACCCATGGATAGAAGAATAGAGGGTTCATTTATTTTGCAAGAATGAAAGTGTTTCCATATAACCATCATTTGTAATTCAGCCACTTTCTATCTGTCAATATAAATATTTTTCTTTCTCATAAGTTAGTCATTACTATCTTGTCAATATTTTGATTAAGCCATAGCCAATAAAAGAGCCTGCTTCTTAGTTTTTCTGGATCAAGTTTGATTGATATTCCTAGCATGTTAAGAAAAAATATAGAGCGCTTAGTTAAAATGAAACCTAAGAAGCTTTGTACTAATGATAGAAGTGCTCATGAAGATTCATAAATTGGGCCGTCAATTTGCAATGTAATTCGACAAATTGTCATATGGAGAATGTATTACTGTAATCGCCGACTGGAAGAAATTTAGTTTTGGCCATGATTGCCCCATTTTTGCAAGCACATCATAGTAACTTTCCCTTGTGTAAACTCTAAACTTTGTATTGTCTGCCTTTCTTTTGACTTGGATGAAAATATCAAATGCTTTTTAACACTATTGTAACAGTTTGATACATTTTTCAACTGTCAAAGATTACATTTTACTTAATAACCCAAGATAACAATTATACATACTATTTGAGGCCTTTCGGTTAGCCATAGGTGGCATATGAAAACTCGAATTCACTTCTCTTATATTCATGCTCTTTTTCAGTGTAACTTGTGACAACATTCTTGTTATAAGCTATTGGATATTGAACAAAAGAAACTAAATAGAACTGTTCTAAAGTGTTGATGAACCAAATAAACAAAAGAACATGAATACATTATAGGTATCATTTTCGAACATAAAAGCATAATGAGGTAAACATTCAG